TGAAGCTTTTCTCTAGAAGGCTCTTCTGTTTCCCACATGCAAACACGCATGAGTCACATATGTATACCTATGTATGCATAGAGGTGTCCGATGATTTTTGGAAGCTGAATGTGAGACATCTTCAAAATAGACTTGATTTGCAGAGTGGGGGCTCGCAACTTGTTTGACCTGTAAGAACATTCCATGTAGTGTTCCAAAACTGGGACACCCAAAATCTATAAACCTCTGGAAGACTTTGGCCTGAACATTCATAGAAGCTTTTCTTTCTGGCCTGATGTTTTACATTCTGCAGGAGCTCTGAAAAGGCCTGTGTTGCAGGCAGACGTAGCTGTCTACCCTGAGGAACAGGGCAGAAGCAGCCTCTAGCTTCCACTGCAAAAGCCCAGAAAAGTGTAGCAATGCTTTCCAAAGGGAGTCGAGGAAAGGGTTCACTCAGATATTACTTTGACAACAAGAATTTTTTCCTCTCCTGTCATCTGCTGTAGTGAAATCTTGCTTTTTCCTTGGATGTGATGAAACACCATTCTGATTTTTGGGATGCAAACAACAGAATTTAGCAGCTTTTTTCCCCGCATTAACCTTCTCTTTCTTCATGGAAGGCCTTGGGGCATCTTGGGAGGGGTGGTAGTGACGGTGAAGTTTGAAGCACAGCATCAGTCATTTTCTGTCCTTGCAGACTGACTCCTTGTTTAAGTTTTAGGGAGAGAGGATCATGACTGTAATGCAATAATTAGGGAATGAACGAGCAGGGAACTGCCAGCTCTTCCCAAGCACACAACATAGCACACTTCCTCCCTGCTGGAAAAAACTCAGGGTTATTTTGGTCAGAGCTCCCTGGTCTAGTGAAAGGTCCCCACGTCCTTAGCTACTGCTGACCTTCTTTCACGGCCCATAACAAACCATCTTTGTCACTCCAAGTGAAGCAAGTTTGCTGCTAGCTCGTGCTGCTGCCAGCCTCTTGGAAGGCAATGCTGCATCCTCTTCCACCCTGTATTTGCTGTAGTTGGAAGTCTAGAAGCTGAGGGGCTAGACTTACCCCACAGATTTCCTTCTACTTGTGCCAATTTTGTATTATCCCCTTTTTTAAAATAGAGTGGGAATCTTATCTTTAATGGGGAAAAAAAAATCTAGATCACTTTTCATGTTTTTATTATTATTATTTCCTGTGTGAGTGGAGGTGTGTGTGCATCTGGCTGTGTATTAAACCTGCAGAGTATCAGGAGAGTAAGCTGCCTGAGATGCAGTGCAAGCATCCATATCCTCCCTGCTGCAACCTGTGGTGTTGTCAAAGTATCCTAAGGGCTCACGTTGATCTTCCTCTGTTCACATTGCCACATCTCCTGGTTAAGCTGGTAAATACCTCCAGACACTTGGAATTTTGATCCAGGACAAGCTTGAACATCAAGTAGCAGAAGGGCAAGATATTTTTTTTTTCTTTTGTTTTAATTTCAAAGTTATAAAATAAAGTGTTTGGCACAATTCTGGAATGCAGGTACCGAATAGTTCTAACCATGCCGTGTAAGATGTTTCTTTTTATGTTTAAAATAAAGAGCGAGCCTTTTTGATTATGTCTGTGCTGTGGGTCTGGGTGTTGGAGCTATGGGCAGTTCTTTACCTTGCCTGTATGCAGACGCTATTGTTGAGGCAAGGATACCCGATGTAAACCTTACAGTCCTGTTTCCAGCACCGCTTAACCCTGTACAATAAGCACAAGCCCTGTTTTACAGTAAGTTTTAAATATTTGCCTACACTTGTGTGATGAATCAGGGGAATGTAATTGTTTTCCGAGGCTGTCCTGTTTCTGTCTCACTCTAAGTGTTGGGGGAGTTTCCTCTCGATTGCTTGGGGCCAGGAGTCAGTCAGGGGTGTGTGTTCAGTATGTGCTGTGAAACCTGGCCATTAGATGTTGAGTTGTCTTTGAACCCTTCCTGAGGCCTCTCATTTCCGAGGTACCAAGAGGAAAATCAGTAGTGTTGGAAGTAAACTTCTGGTTTACGTTGCCAACGGCTGAATTTCTTCCCCCAGCAACTGTGTAAGGACACCATGATAGTTCAGCAAGAGGCAGAGGAAGGCCGAGACAGGCTTTGGCAAAGGTGTTTTGTGTTCAAGCTGCTGCAAGCTCTGTCCCAGATGGCTGCAGTGCAGGGCAGTTGACAGCAAAGCGTCTACCTTTGGCTTCTTTCCAGGTGATGGTGTTGCAGCTGGCATGGAGAGATGCCCTCTGCAGAGTGTGTTTACGAGAAGCTGGGAGGTGGCTCCAAGCTGTAAGTTCTCAAGGGGTGACGGAGACCATCAGCTGAGATAAAGAAATGTCATAAATGGTCTCTGCCCCTGCAGCAGAGCCTTTGGCGGCTGCAGATATGTAACACGTACATGCCTGTGAGTGGCATGCTTGTGGGACAGCAGCTGTTGGCCTCTGGCTGTGCAGGTTACAGCTTACTGGTAAGTTTAGATTAGCTTTGTGAAATCCTCTTGCCTCCCCCACCCACTGGGATGACCTGGGTCTTAATGAAGTTCTGAAAAGCATGTTAGGATCTTACCATAATAAAGAAACTCAAGCCAAAACTTGAACTGTGGAGCTGAAGGGGAATACTTTTAGTAACTGCCCGAGTGTTGCAGTTAAAGGATGGGCATTATCAGGTCTCCAGCATCACCTTCTATCTGCCATGGGTTCAGCTCTGCTTACCTGCCTATGGAGGTACCTAGCTGCCTACTGTCATAGAGACAGCCCAAACAGCACTTGGTGCCGGAGGCTGGGTGTGCAGTTGCCTCTATAGCACTGGACTCAGGCAATGTGCTTGGCTGTGCTTGTTCCTCGGCAGGCCAGTCCTAAAACCTCCACTGGAATGACGCTGATTTGAGTAGAGTGGGATGCATGTGACCACCAGCCTCCTCTCTGCCATGTGAAGGTAAAGCTGCTCATGTAAATCTTCTAAGGAAATGTAAGGCTTTTGCCTTTTCAGTGGGACTTCCTACATTTCTGTGATTGCAGGGGGCTGAGGTATGCACAGCAGGTTACAGGAGAGATGGTGCTTCAAGAAATAGCCTTTAGCAACTGATCCAAGCTGTGGGACATGCTAACTGAAGAAAAAGCTACTGCTCGTTCTTGTGTGAGGAAAGCACGCCTTAAATACAGCACGGAGCCTCCTCTCAGGCAGCCCTTTGCCAGGGATCCCCTTCCCTTACTAAGGGGAGTGGCGCTAGGCCATAGCCAGCGGATGATTGATCCAGATAGTTCCAGGGGAATGCCTGGGTGATTGAGGAAGCCAGGTCCTGTGGATTTCCAGGTCCCTCAGAAGAG